GAATTAGAGTACAGGTCCAAACAAAGCCTTTTAGGCATAATGGCTTTCAGTGCTCACGCAGCAAAATCACATCTGTAGCTAAAGACCTGTAAAGCGGTAGATAAGGCTCCGTGGAGTTCGGCTTATTATTAGAGGGTTCCTTTTTTGATTCAGATGTATTGAGAATGGACAAATTAAATTCTCTTTCCATTGACAAACTGCAAAGACTCATAAAGGACTCCCACTTCCCCTATAAGTATATCCGTTTCATCAAAATTACTTTCCTACGCTTTAAATACAATGCGCAATATTTCCTGAGTAAGTACTAGGAAAATTGTTTTTCGTTCTTCCGGTTACCCAAAATTCCATTCCATTCCATGAATTTTACCCAAGCCACTTGGTTCGCAGGGTCCCCCTTCCTTTTTGCGTCAATTAACGCTATTATCGACGATAATGGGCGAACTAACGAAAAACCCATGAATCAACTGATTGGCTTCAGACCTGGAAAATCAGCTGACAAATTATCTATTGTAACACAAGGAGTCTTCACCTTTCCGGTCACACGTCACTGTAGCTATAAAAATCCAGAGCCCTCTTCCAATAAAAAAATCTATATCTACAAATTCTTCATCATAACCGTTCGAATAAAGATGAGAATGCATTCGAAGCTTTCGGGAGGATCACCCTACTCAAAATCTTCACCTGTTCCTGTTAGCGCTTGCAAAGATGTACTGACAAAAACACCAAGCGTAGAAGGACATATCTTCACTTTGAATATACAAATAGTCGAATTTCAAAACGAATTTTTCCAGCTCAAAGCACTAAAAGGTTGTAATTTCTACTTAATAAAGCTTACGTCACTTGATTTAGTATCGTGTTCTGCGGCTTCCTAGTTGGTATATTTTTTCATCAAAGAACATAATAAATTCCAGGAGACACTACTTCCAAGTTAGCAACTGAGTCAAATTAATTTTCCAATTACGACTACCTTCAATTTTGCGAGCATACATGTCATGCATGAATTCATTTTAAATTCGAAGTAAAAAGCTTATGTTAGTGCTATGCAGAAGTGCTAGACTACACTAGTTCACCAATTATAAAATGAAGGAAATGTTTTTTTACGGAAATATATGACTACCAAACAAATCAAATTATATTTATAACTTCCTTTTTGGAAGTGCTTTTTTCAACCTCTAAATGACCTCCGAACTTAAACTCGTCGTGGACTTTTAAAATGGAAAAATTTGTCTTTTACTGGAAAACGAAAATATATGAATTACCAAGTCGTGGATGCTCTGTCTTTTGGTCATATTACCGACTTTTGGTTTTGACCGCTTTCAACCGGGAGTGGGATAAACCGACCGGAAGTCGGCACTTCCGAGAAACATGTTTCAAACACAGGTTACACATTTTTGCTAACAAATTCCGAATTTATAGTAAAAACATGTATGTTCTATTTAAAAAAAAAATTCTGTCGGTCAGTGTAACCCACTTACAGGGAATCCTGAACTTTGTAGGTCATATTTTTGCATTTTTCAATAAAAAAAAACATGATCCTCCGTTTTAGAAGCGGTGGATCGGTGGTATTTAACAACCTGTACATATTGCACGATCTCAGTACATTATATGAGCATTTATTGTGTTTCAGAGGTCCAATTGGTTTCCCAGAGCTGACAGCTGCATTTTCGAGGTATATTTGGTTGAATATAGCGCCTACTAGTAGCTGCGCTTTTGCGGCATTTCGATACACTTCTCATGGCAAATGTTTTAAAAGAGTCCACTTGATATCTGGTCCAAGGAAATACAGAGTAATTTCTTTTTGGGCCAGTGCCACCTCTTAGGACTCACCTAAACAGGTGTCAGCCTTTGCCAATTCATGAGCTATTCATAACATTCGATTTACCTTAAAGCGAGAACATAGACAAAATAAACTGTTGTATTTGTTGTTCTTGACCAAGACATTCTTTAAAAGTGCTACTTGTTCTGCACTTTGTATTAAAAAATTTAATATATGTAACCAAAATAAAATGCAAAAATCGGGCTCGACAAATCTGTTCCAAATCTCGTTAGCTTTCATTTAAAAAATAATTATCAATGCGGTTAAGAACTGGAGGCTCTACTTTTTGATTTCACTTCTCTCAGGTGATGATCAATGGGGATCAGACCTTTGATATTTAGTAAACACATATTTGATTTACTCCCATAAACTCTTTTTCGTACACACAAAGACACGGACGCCACGACATTTTAGCCATATTTTGAGAATCGGCGCTGAATTTCACTTTTCTACCGCACCTTTTATCTTTTCCAAAAAAAAATTAAAATTTACTATTCATTCAATTGCTTTCGAATGAAACACGAAAGTCCATCTCACGTTATCCACATTATGTAATATATTTCCGGAAAGTTTGATTTAACGAAATACCTGAAATCGTAAAGTGGACGTATTCAGTCGCGAAAATGGCTAAGTCCATATACGGCCATAAAATACGAAAATTCAAACCTCGGCGGCACAGATTTCCATAAAAATTTGATTGATAAACGTGTAGGTTGCGTTAGCCAGTAATTTAATTTGACTCTAAACGCTTATTAATTAAGTGTATTAGCATAATATGAAGGCACAAATATCGCAAACGCTTTCATATAGTGTACATATATTTGTATACATACATACATGCAGGTAACACGAATATGCTCACACATAGTTACGTATAGCCAATTAAAACGTATAAAGCGACATATTGAAAAATAAATTATACTTTAAAATATTTTTATGCTTACTTTTCAATATTTCAACGGTAACCTGAGCACACATAACAGCCTAAATACCCTAATCCTAAGTTATGAACACACAAAGCTCATACAAAACGAAGCATACACACATGCACACGTACGAATACATAAAAACGCAAAACACATTTTTTTTGTAAAAGTCTTAAATTTTGATTAGCGATTGAAAAAGCGCACATTTAAGCGCTTAAAGTCATTATACGTTGAAAAAGCTGAAAGTGAAGATATCGCAAATTGACATGGAAATGTGGTGTTTTATGGCCAATTTAAGCTTTCAAATTGTTGCGCTACAAATGTTGCAGATGCAGACACCACAGACAAGTTTATGCTGAATTTATCCATATATGTATGTATTTACCAGTCTCATCCATTGTACATACATACATACGTATGTGCTCGATTTGAATTGGACATTTGCAGCGCTTTGTATTGGCAATTTGCTCACAATCAAAGCGTTTATTATGCTAATTTGCAGCTGATTAACATAAAATCACAAGCGTGAACCATGAGAAAATTCGAGCATCCGTAATCTTCAAAATATCGTTAGACTTTGTTATTTGATGGTGCCATCACAAACAACAATACAACCTGTCACTTTTATCTGCATAGTGGCGACTATTGGCATGGGCACTATGTATTTGCGATAGATAAATATGCCACTGAACTGTATTGTTTTGTGAAGAATAGCTCCGTATATAGTTTTGTTAAAGCGTCACTAATTGCAAATGCTGATTACTTAACTGATTTCCGCTCGATGACTAAGGGTACTTTCACACAGAAAGCCGAGCGAAGCAAGGCGGAACAAAGCGAAACTGCTGGTGTTCACTGAACGAAGTGAGGTGTGCTTTTCTCATGAACTTGGCTCAGCTTCCCTCAGTTTGGCTCCGCTTTCTGTGCGAACGTACCCTAACAAATGATTCGCCGCTCTTTAGAAACAATTCCCTTAAACAGAGAGAAGCTAAGGTGCCAAATCGAGGTAAAGAAGTGATAAACTAATATTCGAAGCCGGCTTTTAACAATGGGAATGAGGAAAGTAAGCAAACAAAAAACATTTTGTTTATATAATGAAAATAGCGTCTAGAATTCTGTGGAATTTTTTCGATTTTCTACCTAATAATACTTTCGAACAGGCAGGGCTTATTCAGTATAAATACAAGTTTAAATGCAGTGTCATACGATTTGATATTTGCCGAAATTTGGTGCAAATCGTGTCACAATTGTGTGAATACCCAAATATTTTCTTCATCCCAATCACGAAAAATAATCAGCCCTGTCATGAGTTTCATTTTCTCCGAACCGGTTCACTTTACACTTTTGGTTTCCATGGTTTTACTATGGACGCACGCATTACAAGTTTTCGGGTGAATTTTTTTTCAGGCGAAACTCAGCCAGAATTTGTTGGAGCTTTTCAATAGAAAATTGCTGTATTGTACCAATCTTTTGACTACAAATTCCTATTTTTTTATTTTGTACCAATAGCCCAATATAATAATGCACAAATCTCTACAATGTACCAATCGAGTGACACACTGCCTTAAAAATGTGTACAATTAAAAAAAAAAAAATCAACAAATCTTCGTAAAAATTTCGAGCTTTTAATTAGATGCTGAGTATGCAGTTTTATAGCCCATTGAATTCCAATAAAGTAAAAGTTTCAAATGGCTAAAAATTACGGTTAAATTTTTAGAATTTTTAAAAAGCTAGAAATTTGCACGCAAGTTTGTTGAATTTGTTTAATATTACACAAAGTTGTAAACACGGATTTACACGGGGTTTGTTAAAGAATAAACTATATTTTTATAAAAAAATAACACTTTGAACAACAACTTTGAGGGGTGAGAAAGCACAAGCTGAAATAATAAGCCGAATCAAAAAGACAAATAATTCGTACAAAACATTCCATTTCTGTTCATAAACGAAACTGCCGTGGTCTGTCGTTTAATACTGGATGCGACATGAGCGGTGGCCTAACAGTAGCAGTCACTATAAGCTTTTTTTAAATCATAGTGATAAAATAACCGGTAGTAAAATACCGCTCATCACTAGTGTAGCGCGATCACCTTTATAAACCTTCCCAAAATAAAATTGCTCAACGTATTCATTCAAAAAAACTTTATGTTATTGGGACAGATTTGTTGTCAAAAATGTTTTCTTAAATTCTTAATTTTATTCTTTGAAGAAGCTTATTAAAACAAAATTTTTAGATTACATAAAATGTGCTGTCCTATAGCATGGGTTTCGATATAAACGCCTGCAATAACATTCCGCAATCCAGGTATTACAGAAGAGTTTAAAATAGCGAAATTTTTTATATCCAGCTTAAAATATTTATTTAGTTCTTATTTTATTATAGCACAAGCAGTTGCATGGATTGTTTTTCTAACGGATGTTATAGTAAAATACACAATTTTTACCACATTAATTTCCAAAATTGCCAATGTCATCCGTGTTGTGTAAGTTCTATGATAAATGATCACACCTACTCACTGCTCAAAAAAATTTGCCGAAAAGTTATAAAAGATTATCAGCGAAAAGAGAGTCGAGAAAGATATACAATATTTGATGGTGGAAACAGCATCAATGTCAGAATACATCGATCATCAATTGGTTAGTTAATGTATATATGTATTGTATGACATCTGACAAAATGCATTTCGAACGTTTCAGGTGAAGATGGCTTGAATCAAAATGAGATCAAACGAATATCACATAGAAATGGAAAGGGTCGCAATAAAAGCCCAGAATATTACGATGAAACCGACAAAGGCAAAGGAAAATATCGTAAATCTTACTCAAATGACTTCGGGGATGAGGGGATAAAACTTAGTAAAAGAAAAAATGCGAAAAAAGAAAAAAATGGTAATGAAGATGATAAGCCGAAAAGAAGCCAAGCGAAAGGAAAGGTTGAAGAAAATCGCGATGACAATGACAACAAAAATCGGGGAAGAAAAGGCAGGCATATGAAAGAAGATGAACGCAGCAAAATTGAAGGGCACGTAAGTGAAAAGCAAGACAAACGGATCGCGGGAGAGAGAAAAGAAGGCGAGATTGGAAAACGAGTTCAGGGTAAGATAGGTATGAGCCATGGCGCTGATGGTGAAAATCCTTACGTTGAGGCATCACAAGCCAAAGACAAGGGCAAAAAGCCTGAAGGTGCTTCTAAGGAAAGAAGCTATGATAAAAGTGGTATAGAAAAAGGTAAGAAATTAGACGAGATTGGTGACTACGACAAAAGTAAATTATATTCTAAGTCAGGCAAGAAAACGCCGGAAAAACCAGGAAAATCGGACAAAATTAAAACAAATAACGAAGAACATGAAGAACTTGAAACCGGGACTCAAACGAAACGGGGAAATGTATTGAAAAAAGGCAGTCCTGAAGATGGAACCAGCAACGTTAACGACAATGTTAAATCAGGTTATTAGGATACAAATTTCTGATTTATAATTAACATAAGATTCAAAGCTTAGTAAAATCCATGGTAAAATCTAATGCATTTTTTTAGTTGTAGGTGCTAAACCAGGTAGTCGAAAGATGGATGCCAATGGCAAAGCGGACAGGAAAGACCAAACGCAGATAGAGCGGAATTCCCGATTTAAAGATAATCACGTCATAGGTGGTAATGACGGTAAGGGCAGTCATAAAGGTCGTCGAGGTCTAGACAGTCAGGCCGATGCCACCACCACCACTAAAAACGCGTCTAGCAAAAAGGGTTTGCCTGTAATAACAAACCTACGGGCAAAAGTACGCAAAGGTTATGATATTATGCCGAGTGGAAAGAAGTCAATGGGAAAAGAAACTAATCGTTCAAGTGAATATCAAGAGTTTGGAATAAAAGCAAGGCTTGGTCAAAGGACAACAAACAAAACGCGAAAGCAAAGACTATCGAAGAGTAGCAAAGATCACATTAATGAACGATATGGTTCTAAAAGAAATCGTATGTCTCGAAGCTCCCGTAGTTTTGGTGGCTACCGAACTCGGCTTCCAAGTCGTTACGATGAAATACGAATATGTGATGTACTTCGTGCTCATATGGAGCAACGTGAACTTTGGTAAGTCTAGATTACATTGCGTCAAGGCCCTTAGCTAATTAATTCAATAACTTATTCCATATCTTGCTTTCCAGTCAAATACGACGATGCTGTTTACCGTATCCTTGTGACTGTAGTGTAGTTTGCTGCAAATCTCCATCGAGATGTTGCCGCATTTATTAGGACTTTTTATTTGTCTTGTATGTGTGTTTTTTGTAGATATTGTATTAAATAAAAATTGTCAACATAAAAACATAAATAACTAGTTCTGTAGGTGGCGATAAATAAATTTGTTTGCTAAGTTGCTTTTCAATAGAAAGTTAATTAAAAGTAACTAGTATATGTCCATATCACTCACTTACTTCAGTACTGTCATAACTCAAAAAAAAAAACCTAAAACTCGCGACCCAGCAAACGTTTGGAGTCATAAATGAGTATTTAAAGAGTCCTATTTCGGAGCCCTTATGCTCGCAAAAAATTTAAAAGCATGTCAAATTTTTTGGTTTTTTTAATAGTTTAGACGATATTAACATTTTGCAATGTATTTTACTTTAACAGTATATCGTGAAAATAACAACAAAGGAACAATTCGAGATTTCAGTTCTCGTGATGGACGTGCTTTTGGTGAATCAAATGTAAACTGATTGCAAATTTTTTCCTCTATCAACTGAAGCACCTCTTTTAAACCTACCAACATCCCAAATTTCCTAAATTGCTGTAGCACTTCCTCCTGGGAAAAATTGAAGAGGTGCGCAAACTTTTAGGAGCGGAGCTAATGAAGTTGAACGATGTCATTTCTCTGTGTATTAATCAAATATACTAAAGCTTCTTTTGAATGTCTGAAAGAGGCTTTGAATGTGAACACAAAAAGATAAAAGAAAAACCTTGAAAGCATTAACTTTTGCTTACAGTGCGGGCGGTAGCTCTTAGAGGGTTGGAATTATCCTTGTCGCCGTTCGTTGTAAAATCAAGAAATTAACGACATTTACTAAGAGACTATTACTCTGTGAATAACTTCATCGAACCTCTACCACCGCCTATTGCATAGGAAGAGCTTCAGCTAATTAAATTTAATCTAGCCAAAAATCATTTAACTTTTGTTAATGGAGAACTTTTATTATTCCAGTAGAAATATTTAGCAAAAAAAAAAACATTGCATGTGTCACCGAAAAATGTAGAAAGTCGACCCCTAAGCTAGACCAAAACACACATTTTTTTTGTAATTGTCTTGAAAAAATACTTTAGACTCGGGGATGTACGGCGAACTTTTTTTTGGTTGCTTGCATTTAAGTTAGTATGGTCTTATATTCACGTCAGGCATTTTTGCAAATGTCTAGTCAAATCGTGTTTATTTTTATTTCTTTAAACGCTGTGGTAACGCAATAACCTCAAGTGGTCTAACAAAATAAGGATAAGCCTGTTTACTATCCACCCCCGCAGAACCACTGTTAGGCATTACTTCGCTCGTTCTGTGCCATCACTTCTAATTTCATGTGACAGGTTTTATGGACTCGTTGTTTCTATCGAGACAATCGCATCGATATTATTCTATTCTTGCTGCTGACCTCTGTTATTTAGACTTCCGCAATGTCTGCAATTCCTCTGAGTGCTTTTGCCTCCACCTCGATTGATACATCGTCTACAAAACCTACAAACGTTCCGCGTTTAGTCGCAGGATGCCATCGTACATGATATCCCACACGAGAAGTCTCAGTACTACGTCTACGTCGTAAGTCGTATGTTTTTCACTGTCATAATGAAGCATTCTAGAGCCGAGAGATAGTTTGAGATAATTGCTTGTAGGTACAACTAACTGATTTGTCGTGTCCAACAACAGATGGCTGTACTTTCTAATTTGAATGATCATAAATGTCTTTACAAATCATTTGCTCACATATTTAAGATAGCAGAGTCCACACAAATTAGGCACATCAAAGCCAATTGTGGGAAAAAATAATACATGTGCCTACATATTATACATACATACATATATACTTGTATATACTAAAAACCAAGCAGCGCTCAACAGGTTTCCTAATACACACATGCCAACATACATAGTTACATATGTATAATAATAAAATAAAAATAGTCGCTCTAACTGATTTGGGCATCATTTGATTGACGAACAACGTTCCAAACAAAGCTTTGGAAATTAGTTAAAATCGCTGTTTTTGGTAATTTTTATCACTTACAAGTTATTATTTTACTGTTGTTTTTCTTTATGTATCGTTATTTTTTAGTTAGCTAATATAAGAGCAGTCATTTGGCCCCCACAAAACGTTAAACAAACCCAAATTAAATATGCTGTTGTTTTTTTATGTTTAAGCGCTAGGCTGATTGACTCGGTTTTTGCAAACCGGTTTCCACCGGTTTTTTTTGGGTAACTATAGGCGCTTTTTTGAAATATTGTTTGGTTGAATATCGAATAAATCAGATATTTTTCGTCGAACGAACCGGTTTTTTTTTCATTTCATACAAATCTTGACCTCTCAATAAAACTCTTGAGTTTTTCTAAGTTTTCGAAGGCTTCTCCAGTTTAAGAAAGTTCCAAATAGTTTAAATCTAGTATATCCTCGGTTATTTGGTGTTGAACAGTATATGATATTTGTTTCCAATAAATTAATGTTTGGCGCTTAAACGTTTTCTACGTGTTTGGCTGAGCTTTTCCTCTAATTCGTGTTCTGCATCTTGATGTTGTGACACAAATCGAGAGATCTGCACTTTTTCTCCACCCACGAAAATGCTTTTTTTTTGGGAGAAGTACACTCGCTGCTTTGCCATTGTCTGCCGAGTGGCGACGGCTATTCGAAAAACTTGTTTGACATTGCTGGAACCAGAAGTTCAACCATGGACATGCCGAGTAGCAGTAGGCACATCTAAGCACTCGGCTGTGGCGGCAAGAGCACTACTCAAATACGAAAAAATCAGAAAATATGCAATAAAGTATTTAAAAAGGTTAACTGATTTTTATTTGTTTACTTTTGATCTAAACAAAATCTTTGAATTTCTTTTGCTTTGCTCTTCTCAAACTACATAGAAGCTATTTTTTTCCTAAGTTTTATTGTAATTATTGGTCTTAACTTTATACCAATATATACCAATATACCATATATAGCATTTTCACTGTATGAAAACTGTTAAAAATATAACCGGTTTATACCGCTTTTTCTTTATTTCAAAGTCGGCAACCAGCTTTATTCCTATCGCAGTTTCTCGAATAACTCGGAAATCGGTTTTGCAAAAAGGGCGAATAATCGAACACCCTAGTAAGCACAACAATGGATTAGTTATTAAGTGATTTCTTGCGTTTAACTAAACAAATTTAAGCATAAAGTCAAAACAAAGTTTGATATCAATAAAAATTCGTATTTAGCACATTATTTAAATTTTTATGGTTAGGTATTTGGTGCAGAATTTGGCATATGTAGATTTATAGAAAGTGAAAGCAGTGATGGTGAAATTCCATATATTATATAAATAAACATGAGGAAATCGAGTATAGTTAAGCGACTAAAGTAGAGCAAGTATTTGGGCCTGCACGAAATTTCAGTGTGAAGCATCGCTAAATATTTTTGCCCAACTATACGGCACTTACATATTGATAAGACTATTGACCATTTACTTAGTTATTTATTTATTTAAAAAAAAAAAATCAACAAACCTTCGTAAGCATTTCGAGCTTTTTAATAAGATAAGAAATATTTTGAGTAGGCAGTATTGTAGCCCATTCAGTTTTAGTATATGAAAGTGCAAGTTTGAATTAGCTTGAACTTGCCGTAGATTTTTGACAATTTTTTTTTTTGTTGGCGATATCAGTCATTTTCTTTTATAAGAAGTACGCTCGACGATTTATTTGTAGGGAGAAAATGAGTAACACCTTCCACAAAAAAAAGCCAAAAACAATTGACAAGTCTCAGCACTTTAAATGTGCACTAAACTTGAATGGGCTACAAGACTGCATACCCAAAATATTTCTAAGAAATCTAATTAAATTTTTTTTTCAAGTGTTGCACAAGTATTGAAACTTGGATCTATATGGTTTTTGTTTTAAAAAATAAACTATATTTTTATAAACAAATAATTAAAATTAAAAAGAAGTGAACCAAGAGACAAATTTTGTCAATATATTATAGTCGTAAAGTTATGATAAGCACTATATTTACAGTGACCATCCGTATTGTACAGGCAGTCCTCTTTTTTCATCAGTTTTCCCTGTAATTTATTTATTTCATACGGGACGCCAAATGTTCTATATTTCTCTTAATGTACCTTATTCGGTATTTTTGCTTATGAACAAGTTGTTGTTTTTCTGGACGAGAAGCACATAGATGGTTTCTTGAGTTATAATTTTACATAGAAAAACTGGGTATTTGTGAGTATACAGTTGCATAGCAGCTCAAATAATAAAATTCTAGCACAAACTGAACCCAAAACCACAAACTTTTCGTTGTCAGATCGGGGACCAGAGTTACCTTGCGTTCATAAATTTATAATTTCTTTTCTAATTATAGTATCTAGAATAAAATCCGCTGGTAAAAATTTGGACTTTAGGAAGCAGAAAGTTCTTATTTCAGCCATAGTGACCAGCAGAGCAACTGATTTGACTTTTTCGAGAATTCCGTCTCTAAATTGTAATTTTTGTTTACATTTAATCTACAATATCAATTTTTATTTACGTATATAGATTACAAAACCAACAACAAAATTTACAACCCTTGCTGATTTTGATCTGGTGCTATTACCTGTCTAATGCGCCTTGGTGTGAGGGAATCTTAAAATTTTGTAAAGAGAGGATTTATTTATTTGGCGAAACTACGCCAAAAAAATTATAGCTAATTGTAAGGAGAATGGCATCTTCAATATTTGAAACTACAAATTACAAGGCAACCAGAAGTATGTTTTAAAAATAAGGCAGTTGTCAAATTTTGAAAGGGAAGTGGATCCCTTCAAAGGTACGCGTTGCAATTCAGCTCGTTCAATGCTCTGCGCTTGGGCGAAATCTGAGTCTGTTGTCGGAT